ATCTTCAAATATTAAATATATTTATTTAATTGTAAGTTAATATGTAAAATTTTGTGTAATTACATTTTAATTCAAATATATCAAGTTGGTGTATCATGCTTAATAAGACGACCAATATAAAGTATGCTAAAGCACTTGGTACTGAAAATTTTACAAAGAATACTAGTATAATGAAAAACCTGTGCGCTACTTCCTAGTAATACGTAATTTATCTATTCGCTATTTTACTACAAGGCTATTTCACATTAGAGTGACGCTAAATAAAAACTGGTTTATATATTAGTAAATTATTCAAATACCAGCTTTAATCTAATATTTATCAAGCAAATTAATCTTACCTCAGTCAAATCTTGGTTGACTAAAAATGCGAATGCCAAAAAGTTTTTAGAGTTACGGCAAAAAATGCCAGAACTCATTAATAACAACAAGGCATGCTATTATACCTGCACTTCTAGATCTGGGACAACTCAATTTCAAAGTTCACGTTCCTGGTTTCGCGCAATTGTATTGCACAACTCTTATTGATATTAAAAAAAATAGCTGTCAATAAAAATCAAGCAGATTTCTCTAATAAATCTGCTTGATTTCTATTGACAGCATTAATTAGTAAATGATCGACATATCCGGTCTCCGAGCTAAAATCGATGTACAAAGGTTTCACAAATAGACAAAGTAATTTTTTGTTTTTAATTTAAAAATTTATTATATTAATTGGCTATCTTTTATAAGTAAAAAATAACCATTATAACTTTTTTTATTAAATAGATCATATAACTCATTTTTGTAAAAAATGTAGATCTGCTTGATTTCTATTAACGGCAGCTCATATATAAAATATTAACATAACTCAATATAAAATATTTACATAACTTTATATAAAAACAACTTTCTAATATATAGTGTATAGTGTTATTAATTTTTTTTAAATTAGCTTGTAAATTTGCCCAAATTTTTACTATATTATTTTTTTTAAATAAAATTTAGTTTAGTACAAAAAAATATTTTGTTTAACTTTAACTTTTAACTTATATTTTAGTAAAATTTTATTAATTAAATAATATTACTATATTATAAATAAAAATTAACAACATTGTTAGATTACACTACTGATGTTCAACACTACAATAATGTTTATTATAAGCTACAGTATAATATAAAAATTAGTTATAATGTAGGTTTTTTTGGTTTTTTTTAAAAAAAAGATTATAACTCAAAATTTTATTTATAAACCTACTTTTTAAGCTCTAATAAAATAAGAATATTGCTAACTTGCCCCCTGGTGATTTAACCACCCCACAATTTACCAATCATGTTGCAGGACCTTGTATAACAAAATAAAGAATTTTTTTAAAAAAATTTAGAAAAAAATTGAAAATTAACAATATTGCAAATTTTTATTACAAGAACTAGTTATAAGCTATTAAGTAAAAGTTTTTAGCATCTAATTTTGCATATAAATAAGCTACATATCAACTTAATATAGCCAATATTCTAATCTTAATCTTTAAAGAATAATTATTTATATAAAAAAATTCTATAAAAATAAAAGATAGTTAAATTTTATAATTTTAACCAGAGGTTAAAATTAGTTAAATTCTAAAAAAAATTCCTTGTAAAATTTTGGTATAAACTAAGCTCTTGTCTTATCCTAGCCTTTAGCCCTAACCCTAATCTTAATCAAAATTTAATTTTTGTTTTGATAAAATTATTTGATTTATATGTTACATTTTGAACACCATAGGTGTGATATATAATTTTTTGAAAATCAATTATAATCAATTTTTTATAAATATTGTTATAATAATAATTTTTAAAAGATTTATTTTTATTTAAAAAAGGTTTTTAGTATTTAAAATTTTCAATAAATTTAAAAGATACTTTTAACAAAATTAGCAAAAATATATTTAATAAAAAGTATAAAAATTTTAAATTTTATTTAAAAAATAATAATTTTGCAGAAAATCGGTAAATGATAATGTGTACAAAAACTAAAATTAAACTTTAACAAACTAAAAAAGCAAATCAGAATTTAGTTCAAAGGATATAGTTTTACTAATTATACTAATAATATTCAATATCTAAATAAAATTATTTAGTACTTTCAAACATGTTATAATTTATAGTAACAAAATTTTAAAGTTTTAATTTTTAATATTACTAATTTTAAAAAAGGTTTATAACACATTCGTCAATAATTGTAACCTATATTTTATAGTCCGATTACTATAAATGGTGTTCCAAAGAGTCACAACTTAAAATATCTCCATTGTTCTATTTATTAATTTAAGAAAAATTAATTTAGAAAACCGTTTAATTTGAAATAAAACAAAATCTAACACCGAACCGGTATGACTCGTAAATAAAAATATTTTTTTCATTTTTTTTTTTGCAATAAATTTAAAAAATTAAGCTTTAAATAATACTCGGCTCACAATTTTCAAAAGGTTCAAAAGGTAGTTTTTATGCTTTCGACATGGAAGTATGGTCTTATCAAACAACTATAACTCGAAATAAAAAGTCTTTCGTTTCAATCATGTATATATACATTAACACAGATTTTGAGGAGAAGAGAGCAAATAAAAATTATTTATGTTTACTATTTATAAAATAACAAATTTTGATTTGTTAAATTGCCCAAATGCATTTTTAATGTATAAGTTGTATATTAGCTAAAAAAAAAAAAAAAAAAAATACTAAGATTATTCGAAGAATAGGTAAAAATTTTTATAAGCTAAGTACAAAACATCATTCCATCAAAGTTTGCACCCAAAATATGAGATATAGAATCAATCTCTTCAATCAATTCAGAATTCCCATTTTCAGATAACATAATCATTTTCTCGCTATTTCTTACAGCTTTCCAATTATCAGCAACAAAATTAAAACCCGATATTTTAAATTGAGAATCACCGTATTCCCAACCAAAAGCATAAATTTGATCCCAATTATCAGTATTCAACATTCCACAAATTTTATTGGAAACCATTTTTTTCAATCTATTTAAACCCATCATATCAGCTTTAGCGTACATTTCTTTCAACAAGTCAAGATCAGTTATATCCATCCATTTCTCAGTGTAAATATAAAATAAGATTCCTCGAAAGCTTTTGTAAGAGATATCATGAATCTTGATACACATAGTATTCTTTTCTTTCCAACCTCCTTTAAACATTTTTTCAAAATAATCAGAACCACCAGCCAAAATTACTTTATGAGCTTTGATACGAGTCCCACAATCCAATTCAAATTCGATATCGGAAAAAGAAGGATCTTCAAAGAATTTTTCATTACCGGTAGTATAAGTGTAATAAAGATTTCTTTCCTCATTATTATCTTGGTCGTTATCATCATTTATAATATTAACATGAAAGATTAGATCAATCTTTTTTGATTTATCAGCTTCAGTTTGAAAAATTTTATTAGAATAACAAAACTTTGTAAAACCCCAATCAATATCACCATCAAATTGAAATTCATGATTCATAAACCAATTTTGATTACATAAATCAAAAATTTTTGATGGTTGACTACTTACAAGATCCAATTTTTCAAGTCTAAAATTGAATCTTATTCGTCGCGAAGAAATGTTGTGAAATTGTTCGTATGGAGTTTGGATTGCTTCAAGATATAAACTTAAATAATCTTTTATAGAATAATCATTTATTGAATTTCCGTTGGGATAAAGTTTCAAACGCCAGGAACCAGAATAGTTATTCCAAAAAGGAGGACTATATACATGTTTACCGTGACATGTATTTTCTTTAAGTTGACGAAAATTTGAAATTTTCCAACTATAAGTGGTTATAAAAGGAGTAGGATTTGTTATCAAAGATGATTGATCGAATGTTTCTTTGGGCATTTATAATGAAAATTTTTTGATTTATGAATTTTTTAAAAAAACAAAGTTTCGAGTTAAAAAAAATTAACCAGTAAGAATGAAATTAAAAAAGTTCGCATTTCAATGCATCGATCACTTTATAAATGAAGTAAGGTAAATCAATTTAGGAATATGACTAAGCCCCCAATAAATTTGGACTATTAAGTCGGAACTTAATAAAATTAGCCAATCAATTTACATGATATGCAACGTACATAATAATTTTACATAAAATTGTTCTTATAAGTATGCTTTAAAGGTTGGGTAAAGGTTGATTTTGATCCTAATACTTTAAAGTTTTATCAAGTTTTTATCATATAATATTTATAGACCAAATTCTCACCTATAACTTTGATTAGACGATCTCGAATTCAAGAGCTAAAAAAAATACCCGAAGTCCGTAGGTTATTACCGTTATCTTAAACGTTGATTGGTTTAAAAAGTATTTTCGTCATATTTAAACAGTACAGTTTAATTATATATAGTATAGTGTAATGAAAATCATAAATGATTAACAATTTCGCTTTTTTTTTTTCATTCCACATAAACTTTTTTTGCTTGTTTGTTATTACATCTACCAGTTATTCTAGAGGAAGTTAACTAGATTTAGCTCTTAATTGACATTGCTAAAAAAAATATCATTTATTTATATATAGTAATATTATATAAGCTAAAGATTTCTACAAATTTAATACATTTTTCACTTCTACAGTATATACCGATACTGTATATAATAATAATTAATTACATTTTTTAATTTGCAGGATTCTGCTTCTATTATAGTATATACAAAAGTTGTGTATACAAAAGTTGTTCTCTTGCATATTCTTCAATCTGATTTATTAGTGATTGAGATGTTTCGAAGTGATTCTTATAACAATTTATATAAAACCATAACGATAAGTCATAATCATTCATATGGCCATTCATAAAAAGTTATACGACTAACTAATCACAAGGAAGTTTAAAATCACCGTTCCATCACATGCCTGAACGTTACACTATTCTAATTATTCAATTTTCGAGCGTACGTATAAAAATGCAATCATAAATCGGTTTATCAGTTCTAATTTATCCAATTGCCTAATACAGACTACAAAAGAAGAGATTTTATTCGGCATTAATATTAAGCGAAAAGCTTGTTATTATACTATGCATCAAGAAATTTATATTTCATTATATTGTAATTTCTTGTCTTGGGTTTAATGGGAAAATTTTTCAAGATTTTTTTTTTTCGAGATTTTAGGACAATAAAATAAGCGTTTCGAAGTTTAGGATTTGATTCGGTCCTATGATAAATCTTACAACGTCACAAAAGGCAAATGAAAATTAAGATAAATTGAAATCATAAGATTATATTTGACGTACTGTACTAGTGAGTTGAGATTTCTTTTTGTTCTCCGTTAGAATTTATAAAGTTGTAGAAATTTTTTGATTTCAGTGACATGATGTTACAACAGTGCATTACCGAGATAAAACGCAGAACGCGTATCGTATGTTCGGCAACAGTTGAGTATTTTCGTTCTCAGAAGAATTTCCGAAAATAAATTATTTAGACTTTCAATTCGAGATTGTGGGCAATAAAACAATAGGGAAATGAACTATGCAATCAAGAACGTCAGATATTGTGAATGAGGAAATTAATAGTTATAACAGAAAGTAAATAAAAAAAAAAAACCGAAGGTATCCGAAGCTTTCGATGGATTTGATTATCTTTAATCATTTTATGGCAATCACAGAAAAGTGTCATTGATTTTCAACATTCTACAGACTGTATAAGATTGAAGATATTTTTAAAGAACACGTAAAACTTCGTTAAGGTAATAGGTTTACTGAATGATAGGGTGAAGGAATGAATAAACTAGCACTATTTTTTCTCAAAAGAGGTGTTAATTTGGCATTGCAATGTAATTTGAAGTTGAAGATTTTGATAAAGTTTAATTTGATTGCAAGAAAAAAAACCATAGTGTAGCAAGCAATTCTTTGGCTGAATAATTTGTGTCGTTGTGAGTCTTTTAAACCTATATATTCAGCGTTATAAAACTCCATGTTTCGATTTTTCCAGATGTCTAAACAAATAAATTGACTATAGATCTTGAAATAGGATAAAAAATGATCTTTGGCTAATATCGTTTAAGTAAGAAGATTTGATTTTGCTTTTTGATGAAGAACAACCTCTTTCAATTACTGTATTAGCAGAGTAACTTGGGCCTGGATTTCTTACCTTTAGACTTTTTTTTTTTTTTTGTAGCTTCACTTTCAGACTTCTCTCTTTTTTTAAAGTATTTGTCCAAATTCATCTTCACCTTCTGATTCGTCGGAAGTTTTTAACTATGATTAAGAAAATGTAAGGATTGGCGGGCCCTTAGATTTTGCCGACTTGATTTTGGATTTCAGATGTTTTTTCAACGCGCAATAATAGTAACAATAGCCTTGAGATTTTTTATTTCCTGTGAAATTTGGGTTGGTTGATATAATAAAGACTTTTGGCAGTCTGTTAACTTCTTCAATAGATCTATGTCGTCTTTCTAGTGCATCAAGATTTTTAATGGCTTCAAAGAGGCAATCTATAATAGTCTAATCATCCTTTTCCTTGACCCGACCAGACAAAGTATATAAAATAGTTCTGTTACTAAATCCAAAATTTAATTAAATATATTTTTCCGTGTAAAGATGTAGTCTCTCACAATATGAGATTATTGCACCAAGCTTGCGCGGGATAAATTATTCGATTAAAGAAAGTCTTTTTTTGATAAAGATAATTAACTAGGTTCGTCCTTTTAACATTACTTATTAGTAAAAGATAAAGATAATTAAATATAGAAACAGAATGTAAAATTTCTATTAAACTATGCAAAGGTGGGTAACCCAACTTTATTATCAATTGTCTCAATTAATATTCTGAAGCGGATTTTACGCGAAATTTGAAATTGCGCGGTATCTTGTGAGATATATGTATGCTAGGTTTATTTCGCGCGAAATATATCTCTAGTATAGATGTGGTTACTTGTTTGATTTGTAATACCGTATTGTCGCGTAATAACGTCTACCCGCGCGTTATTTTGAAAAAACATATGCGTTATTTAGAGTAAGACATATAAAATTTTCCGAAATTTTACATGTTCGATTTATTTATTATTTATGTAAAGATTTTCTTTTTAAAATTTTACTAATTAATAAGGCCTGACCAATTTGGTTCCGTGTTTTACACTATCTCTCTTTTACTTACGAAGGAGGGAAGAAAAAGAAAGTTCTATGTAGAAAAAAAACGAAATTTTTAAAAAATTCTCTGAAATCTGTAAGCATATAAGACTTTTTCAAAATATCTTGCGATATATTTTGATATATTTAAATCTTTGAAAATATTTTTTTACTAAGGATGAAAGGAAAAATAGAGGGATAATCTAAAACACAAATAAAGTTGGTTCAGTCTAACTAAGATTTATTCCTAGTATAAGTCAAGTACGTTTGAATAATAACCATGTAACGAAACTTGTATCTACTTACAAAACTTAAGAATCCAAGTAATGATAAATAGTTCGAGAAGGATAGAAGTTAAATTTGTGAGTGTATTATATATTTATATACAATTAGCAAGGTATAAGAAACCAATATTTTAGAAATAACAGCGATACATAACGATAAGGAGCATATTACAAAATTTAAATGTAAATTATAGGTACGCATCGCATTTTTTATTTTTATGATTAATCCTCTCAAAACAAGTAGATTAAATCATATTACTAATTCACAAAATTGATTAGTTTAGTGAAACCTTTCATATATATTAAATGAGTATAATAACTTTTGTTAAAATAATCAATGCATTTGTGATGAAGATAGAAATCATAAAAAATGTCTTTTGTACACTGGTAATGGTTAAATATCTTGACTGTAACAATTTTTGTATCCTTACAAACTGATGCCGAATTAGATCGAACTTATTACGAACATTAAGAATACAACTGATGCTAAAGCCGAAATTAACCAAATTATATATATTGATTATTTTATGAATCTACGGTACTGTAGTATTGACTTGTCGGTTTGTCGTAATTTTGACCTCATTATTTGATCAATCAAGACGGAGGGCAGAAAAAAAGACTTTCGACCTCAGTTCAAAGACGACCAGTCTTACAAAGTTTGGACGTGCTTTCGGTCACTGTAATATCATGTGATTTTTGAAAACTTTTAAGATTATAAACTTAATTGGCTATGATAGAGACACAGCTTGTGCACAGACAGTAATGTTACATGTGATTTTTATAGATATAATTAGACCATAATGTTATCTTCAAAATCAAGTGAATAATTTGTTTAACGCAAATGGCTTAAGGCAAGTGTTAAATTTGAATATTTAAGTGGCGCAATTACGACATGCGCCAAACATTATATGTGTCATGAAGAACATATTTAGTAAATATGGTTCCTTACGCAGTAATTTTTAATACACGTGCTTGATTGATGAGGATAACACTACATAAACTAATGACAATCATTTTTTTAATGACGAATCGGATAGACAAAGTTGTTAAACAATGGTTTATAGACAATAAACCCGAGAATAAACTGATAATGAAACACTGCGCAAATTATTTTGTTTTGTTGTCGTTAATGACGGAGTTTAATATTTCTCCAGCTCCGGGCTTAGGGTTAGGCTGTGTTCAGTGAATGACAAAACTAAACGCATCTCGGAAAAGTTAATTTTTTTTTGTAACCGGGTCTAATTTCGAAACAATCATTTAAATTTTTGTGTCACCATATTTGCATGATGACATATATTATAAAATAAGGTTATGTCTCCCCCCCTGATTTTTGAACTTCTTTCTGCGCATTTCAATTTTTTATACGAAATTATTTCAAAAGATCACTAAAAAAAAAAAAAATGACGGTTGACTATTTTTTACCAAGCTATCTTCGTGATAGTCCTTTATACAAAAATAATAAAAGATTATATTCTTCAATTTCTTTACCTACTCAATGGAATGCTGCAGACTGTTCACCATATATTACAATCGTCGATGATGAAAATTTAACAGTAAAATATATCGGACCAGGTAGAAATTGGGTAGATGCCGCTTCAATAAGAGCAAACTACTCTATTCCGCCTGAGGTTGGCTTGTATTATTATGAAATGACTGTTGTAAATTGTGGAGATCGAGGGTAAGGTTTTAATTTTGGACGTAAATGATTATTATTATTATATTATAATAATAATAATAATAATAATAATAATATTTTTTTAAATATATTATATTGTGTTAAAATAATTAAATTAATTTCTTTTATATGTCTTAGGTGTATTGGAATTGGTCTAAGTAAACCAGCTACTCGTCTCAATAGAATGCCAGGTTTGGTTAACATCGTAAATTAATATTATTATTTTCTTTTTCAATTTTAATTTATAAATAATGAAAAAAATTTTATTTCTAAATTAATAGGATGGGAACCAAATACTATAGGTTATCATGGAGATGATGGGAATTTATATTGTGAACGTGGAACTGGTGCAAAATTTGGTCCACTTTATACCACAGGTGAAACTGTTGGATGTGGTATCAACTTTTTTGATAAATTTATTTTTTTCACAAAAAATGGTGTAATTTTAGGAATTGAATTATTATTTAATTTTGATGGTTATCCTTTTGGTAAGTTATATATTCTTGTTATTTATAATTCATAAACGATAATTAATGAATTATAATTAATGAATTTTATTGTTCACAAAAATCAGGTGCATTGAATAAAAGTAAAATTATGGGTGAAATGTATCCAATGTGTGGAATGGAAAGTCCAAATGAAAGCATAACGGTTAATTTTGGTGCAAAACCTTTTAAATTTAATATTGATTGCTACGCAAAGGTATGTGAATTTATGAATCGGTTCAAATGTCTAAATTTTTATTATATTAAGTCTTTAAAATTAAAGTTGAATTATATTATTAAAATTACAGAAAATCTTTGAAAGGGCTGAAAAAAGGATAGAAGAAGAAAAACAGAAAGCAATCAAAGCAGCAGCAGATTCTGCGGCTAATTCAATACAAAATCAAGCTGAAGTCATAAATACAACGAACCCAATAGCTAACCCTTCTAATGATGAAATAATAAATCATAATACAAATCATGATGTCGCTGTAGTTGAATCACATATGAATGCTATTGACACGAACATTACTGACACATTGACATCTACACCATCCGATATTGGTGACGTAGTTAGTTCTAATGTTCCCATCATTTCTACACCCACTACCACTTTGTAATTATTCATTCGTTTTATATATTTTATATGTTCTTTAGTTACCATTAAGTACGTGGCTTTATTAATTATTTAGTACGTTATTGTAATATTTGATATGTAATTATTTGTATCTAAGTTATTATAGACTTTATCTATATTGTGCTTGCGATTTTATATTTATTTTCTTGTATGAGAATGAAATAAAACGTAATTTTAAAAAATAAATTTTATTTCCAATTTACATATAAAATTGAGGCGTGTTAACCTATTTGGCCAATAAGTACAGCATTCCGAACCCCCGTATGTATACATGTTCTATAACTGGTAGATGTTAGTATATTTAAGTTTGAAATAGTTTAAGTTTAGAGGGCATTTTGGTGAATTGTTTGAAATATAGAGGATAAAATAAATAAAAAATTATAAATTTGAAAAATTTGTAATAAAATTTAAGTGTAAAATTTGTAAGTGATTTATAATAGTGTAATATAGCAACTTTGGGTAGTTAATTATATTACTTGATTTAGCACATAAAAAGGTAAGAAAATGTGTATATAAAAAAAATAAACCAAGATAAAAATAAAAAAATAGCTAAACACTAAAAAAACTAAACTATAGGATATAAATAATATTAAGAAAATAAAGAATATCTAAAATAATAAAAATAAAAAAAGACATTATAAAACTTAGTAAAAATAAATAAAAAGAGCCTTTACAATACAATAGATAAAGAGTTAAAAAGCATATATACAGTAATAATATAGTAAATATATAGTTAGAAATTAGTTTATTAGTAGAAAGAGTAAAAAAAATACAAACCAAAATCTACTCCATTTTGAAAAAAATAAAGTTTAAATATTTTTACTATTTGTATACTAATATATATACACAGAATATTGTATTACTCAAAATTTTGCTTATAAAACTACTTTGGGGTTTTGGCAAAAAATAATTTATACAAAATTTTAGTATAAAATACTTTACTCTAACTCTAGCTCTAATATTAAATAGGTTTTTTTTTTTATAAAATTATATATAATATAGAAATACAAATCAATATACTAGTGTAGGTTTAAAAAAATACAATAATAAAATATTATAATAATATTATATATAGTAATTGGAAGTAAATTACCAGAAATTGCCCAGAAGGGCTAGAATTAAACAACTTTCTAACATCTAACCTGATTGTTACTAACTCTTGCAGAACTGTGTAAGCCAGATATGCGGTAACTGATATAGAAGACAAATATTATATAGTATTATTCTCAACATTATTAACCTCCTATGATCTATACATCATACACCCAACTCTATTACTTAATGAAAATAAATCTACTTCAAAATCTAATACAGAAGATAATAATCTCATATTTGCAACAGACCCTCCTTTAATTAAAACAATTACTCAGATAACAGAACTACTTAAAACTATAAACTTTCTTAAATGTTATAATAAATTTCTTTCCTATTACAAATTATCCTACTTGAACATTCACAAACTATTCAATTTTTTCTATATTATATTTTCAATAAATTTTTCTCTTAAATAGGTGTGGCGACTTAGTGAAGTGGTCTAGTTGTTACTCTACCAAGTAGCAGATCTAGAGTTTAAATCTCACAAATGATGATTTTAAAAAATAGGCTTGTGTTTTGGTGATCAGTATGCAGATTATTTGATTAGAAAGATCTGTAATCTGAGTTAGACCAGGACATATTTCTGGAAGATCTGCTAGCATTCATATAACCTGAAGAAACCCAGAAACTACAAAGGAATGCAAACTAGTTTAGGGTAGTACAAACACTCGATAAGTTCAAGATTGCTCTAAAATCTTAGAGATTATTTGAAGTACAGAAAACCTGCTTAGAAAGTTCCAAATTGGGAGTAGTGGCTAACTTTTAATGATACTGCAAAATAGAAGACAAGATTGAAAACTCAACCAGGGGCTTAATGATCATAATCTTTATAGATTCAGAGTTATACCAACCTAGCTACCAGAGTTGCACCAGAGAAAAATAACATATGTTCTGGAAGTATATATCAAGAGAAGGGAGACTGTTAGGTACTTAAAGCCAGACAAACCAACTCTTTTGGGTTAACTGAATTGGTAGTAAGAATGTCTCTGAAGCTGAACTTATGAGTTGGAAAAGAAGTTGGTATTGGGGTTAGTTGTGAATCAAATAAGAGCAAAGTATATAATGGGTAACTAATTAGGAAGGTTGGGCTTGAGATACAGATTTATTATGGCAGTACTCTAAAAAGTAGCATGAGATACAAATACAATAGTGGCAAACAATATATACTAATTAAAAAGAAATTACCAAACACACAGGTGAGTATATGTGTAGCATATGTTCCTTCCATGTTAGGTTTACCACAAGAATAAATGCTTTTTAATAGTTGGCTAAAGTTTTAGAGTCTTTATATAATAAATTACTGTTTCTAAAAGGAGTATATTAGAAGGAAACATGTAATATTGGTCATAGTCAGAGAGTTTAAAATAGATAGCTTCCTAGTTAGGCTATAGATATGGCACCTAGAGTTTTCCAAAGAAAATATTTTTCTTTACTAAGCTAAGCTCTTTTTAACTCCTAAGCAAAGTTGTAAAAGAGTGTTTTGTAATTAGAATAGTAATTAAAATGTTAAAATTGGCACAGTAGATTGTGAAATATAAGTATTTTAGTCTTCACAACTATATGTTTTTTTCTTTATTTATATAATGAAGAAAACATATAGTTGTGATGACTAAAATGCTTATATCTTGTGATTACTAGGCCAATTTTAACATTTTAACTACTATTCTAATTACAAAATATTCTTCTACAGCTTTGCCTAGAAGTTGAAAGGCTTAACTTAGTAAAGAAAATTATTTTTCTTTAGAAAACTCCAGATTACAAAAAACAATAGTAAATATCACACTGGTTTTTTAAATATCAATCTGCTTTAGAATTTGGGTTTAAATAAGTGATTTAGCTATAATTTGGGATTTGGAACTAGGAATTTAGAATTTGGAATTTGGGATTTGGCTATAATTTGAAATTTGGGACTAAGAATTTTGGATTTGGGTTTGAGTAAGATTTTAAAAATTTGTAGTTTGTGTAGTATATATAGTTATGATTGCTTTCGCCAAAATATAATTGGAACTACTATTTTTAAAATTCATTTGTTATAATAAAATATTTATTAATAAATTTTTTATTAATATAAAATGCTATGTGACAAATACTTATCAAGTATTAATTCATATAGCTTATTTTTATACAAAATAGTTTTGGATCAGAGTTTAGCAAAATATTGCATACTGTCAATATGAATACGCAGTAATAGTTTGTCAAATTTGAAACAGCAACTATACTGAAGGCAGATCTTTAATAATTAAGATTAAAAATATATCTTTTTATTTTTTTTCAAAAAGAGTACAATAAGATTTGCTAACTTGCAAACTTTTCTTTTACCAAATTATTTTAGCAGTATCTGTAGTGCTTTTTAAAAGTAGCAAAATATTGCATATTTGACTATGCCAATCTCCATGAAAATTGTTGGTGAACTTATTTTTACTAAGATTTTGCATATACTTAAGTAGGTTTTTATTAAGATAGTCCTTAAAAGCTTTCTTTAATATACTTTAAGTGAGGTAAATATACAATAGAAAAAGATATATAACAATGTCTATATATATATTCTATGTAAGAATAGACTTAAAAAACAAGCAAAGTACTATACTATATTATGTAAATAAAATACTTATATTTAGCATTTTCAGAAAAAGTCTTTTTCATATTCATTTCTTAAATATCTCAGTTTATTGCATATTTTGTTAAGTTTAATACTATTCTGCTTTACTAGAAAATAAAGCTATATATTTTGCTTAAATAGCAGCTTGTTGACTTTCTTTTAATAGTTAGTGTGTTATGTTCATTATTGTAAGAAAAAAATTTTTTTAAAAAAAATAGAAAAATAACCCAACTAAGAAACAATCTAGATTATCTAGAAATAAAAAAACAACCTATATACTGTACTATTATGATTATATAGTTGTTGCTAATTAGGTAAATATCAATCTTGAGATCAAGATCTAAATTGTAATTATGCTTGGGATTAAGATTTTGATTGAGTTTGTGTTTGAGATCCTGGCACTCAGGATCATAACCTTAATTTTGATCCTTTTTTCCTCTTTCTTTTAAATATCATACTGGAGATAATAAAGATTTATTTTATTTGCTAAAGCACACTAGAGTTCAGCTAGATCAACTTTCAGATTGATGTTTAGATTGATGTTTATTAGTTTAGAAAGATTTTTGAATTGATATTTAAATCTACATTTGTTAATTTAAGAGAATTAGTATACAATTAGAAAATTTAGTTAAATTTTGCAATTGCTTTCTTTTTTTTTTTTACCTCTACTACTATTTTTGAAAAAAATGCTGTTGTTAAAATTATTATCATCATATTTATTATTAGAATAAGAAGTATTCAATTGATATTGATTTTGGTTGATGAGGATAACTAGATATGAAGGTAAGTTGTAGTTCGAAAGTGAATTGTTATAAGATAAGTTGTTATTAAGTATGTTATAAGGAGCACTGTTATATAGTGTTTTACCATATTTGTCTAAAAATAAGCTACTATTTTTAAGCCAAAAATTATACAAAAATTCTCAAGATATCTTGGGTAAGTTAAATAAAAATATCAAGAAGGCATTTTGTTTATATATAATTATCTAAAACCTGCTCTAATTCTAATTCAAGATGATTATAACTCTAAAGTTAATTTGATAAAATATATATTATAAGAAACTACTCCATTTTAGACATTTCTCACAATAGGCAAAACAATCTGCAAATTTAGATTGGTTTGAAAATGTATGAAATTTGAAATTTACAAAAAATTAGTAAATTTTTTTTTTTATTAATAACTTAAATGAAGATTTCTCAACAACTATTGATTTATTATTATTTTTATTTAATTCAATAAGTTTATAGAAATAAAGTGAAATAAAAATTATTGAAATTGGATAAATTTTG